AGTTGGCTTCGATGCAGGTGCAAACAAACTAACGAGGATATTACCAAAAAGGACATCTGTGTTTAATTGACATTTGTTCTCCCTATCCAAAAAGAATGTCACTTTGACCCTGCAGCTGGGTATGGCAAAGATCTGAAGTCACATGCTGGGGAGATACCTGAAAAACCCACGAGCCAGAGAGGGTCACAGATGACGAGCTTCCACCCAGAGAGATGGACCGACCATCCTCCCTCCTTTGTCTAAGAAATCCCTCACACACTCCTCCTCAAAGGCTACAGCTAAAGCAGAGGCTTCCTCGCAGCCTTTCAATGGAATATCCAACTGGCGTTATCTAAGGGAACATGGCAAGAAAAGGGAACATGAAATTCCAAGTTTAATGAGGTGCTGTGACCTCCCCACTTCTACAGCACTTGTTTCCACAAGCTGAGACTTTACAGGTAATCACTTCTAAAATCTTCTGTGATGAGTACATCATCTGATATGTAAATTTATTCTTAAATTGTTTCTCTTTTCTCAGCACAGATAACTGAGATTTATAACTACAGCCAAGGCATGAAATCACATCTGAGTCTTTCTCCAGTGTGAATCTCACACACATCGGTCAGACACAAAGGAGAGAAGAACATGCTTCCTTCAAGCCATGTACCTGGCTCCACGTCGACTTTCCATAACCTATGGCCGTGTGGTTTCGCGGGCGAAGCATGCTGGAAATCACGTTATCCCTGGACAGTTGTCCAAGGCACCACTGTCCTTCCTAGCCAATGAAGCAAGACTTCTAGCAGTAGAGCACTGGTGGTGCAAGGAAGCAAAACGTGGAAGAAGACTCATTGTTCTTGGTAGGCGTGTGTCCTTGAGTCTGAAAGATGCTTCTTAAAAGAGTAGCTGATCTCCAAAGAAACAGACTAACTTGTTTTTTCTCAGATGCAGGGTAAACAAATTTGCAGTGTTGGGGCAGGCTAAGGAAGCAGCACTTTGGGGTCCTATGCTTATGACCCCACAAAGTAGGCACCGCCAGGCTCTGGAGAACTCCCATGAGGGCGCCCTCTGCACACCACTGTGTGCCCCATGGCTGGCCCTTGTGTGGAGGGAGGTGTCCTGCCACCCCGTAGGGCCCCAGCCGTCCACCTCATAGGAGGGTCTGAAGACAGCCTGGGTGTTGGAAGCGTCCGGGATCCTATTGAAAATCTCACATGAAACTGTTTCCAGTGCTAGAAGCAGGCCAGCCAGTTCCCATCTGGATGATGCTGCCAGGGACAAAGATTCTTAGAGTCCCTGAGTTCTGGGGAACCCAGTGCTGGACTGAATCAAATGAAGAGATGAGCTCCCTGAGAGGTTATCTGATGAAGAACAGCGTGGACTCACTCTCAGCCCCAGTGCTCTTCGAGGAATCACTCAGTAAGAAGAAAATGCCAATTTACCAAATGTCAGGACTTATTAAAAGAATCAGGTTGAAGCAAATTGATCATAAAATTTCAGAATCACATAGAACCAAGCTGCTCAGGAAATGTCAGTTGTCCACTTGAATAAACTAAGAGTTTTGTGTGTGTGTTTATGTGAGTGTGTATGTGTGTGTGTGTGTGTGTGTGTGTGTGTGTGTGTCTCCCATTAAATGAATCGAAGATATTTCATCCAAGTTTTCACCAAGGGAATTAAAACTAAAATAATGTACAGTTTACTGAAACCTAAATGTCTACTGAGGAAAAAAAAAAGCATATAAGGACAAAATAGTGATATAGAACTATAGAACTTCAGGTACATTAGATTCAACAAATTATTTTTCTTTTCCTTGAGATAAGAAGGGATGCTTAGGGAAAAAAATAAATCAGTCATTTACAGAACATCATTTACTTTAAATGGTATATTCTATTTTCCCTACACCACAAAGAAAGCTGGAGCAGCTATTGCTGCTGCTATAGTCAAAGTTTCAACGTGTGTTTTAATGTAGATAGTGCGTACAAGTATACAATTCAGTGAAAGAATGTCAAATGCTTTCAATTTTAATCATGTTATCTTTATTTTTGTGGACTTTTTCACAGAAAGATATTTCACATCTATATTTTAAATAACTTTAAACTATTTTTTCTACTACAGTAAAAAATATATATATGTGTGTGTGTGTATATATATTTATAGTTCTTTCTCTTTCACACATTTTCCAAGTGTTGTTATTTTCTATTTGGGCTAAAGTTAGATGGAGTCAGTTCCTCAGTGTGCAGGTACACTGGAGGGTCAATGGGTAGCATCATCACCAGCTATTAGCTGTTTCTAGAAGGGGCTGGCACTACCTCAGGCCATAGAAAGTGGTTTTCCAGAGTCCCCATGAGCTGCTTCAAACAGATGAGTATCCAGAGCCCAGCTTTCTGAAATGGATCCTGAGGTCTGGGGTGGGTTCCATGAGCTGGCAGCGACCAGCCCAGGCCACTCGCTGTGGTGCTTGCCACACCTGTCCCACTAAGTTCACGTCAGCATCTTTAAACTTTGTGTTTGGGATCCGGCTATGATACTGCCACTGCACTTCATTTATTTAAAGTATAAATCAAATACTTTTTTACTGCATTTTGTTCCTTGCAATCTCAGTAGCATATTGAGGTTAATGAGTGAATTAAAGTTCCATTTCCCCTTTGAAAGTAGCTCACCCCTCCATTTGTGGTCCTTTCTAAAGCACGCCAGGGTTTCAGCACAGCAAGACTCACTGCAGTTGTGCTGGTGACACTGGGGCCTGGCACACCTGGACAAAGGCCCAAGGTGGGTGCTGGGATGGGGCAGCTTGGTGAGCTCAGGGAAGCGTGCACCATGCAGAACGGCAATTTTCATGCATCCCTGTTCTGCCCACGACTTCTTGTGTCTTTCCATTTTCCATAGTCACGAAAATTCCGGGATCCAGCACTCAGCCCTGCCAGCCTGGCTCCACCTGCTTCCCTCTCAGGCCCTCCTGTCGGTCCTCATAGGATCCTCTGAGTGGGCTTTTGCTCCGGGGTCTTCATGACTCCCCCAGCATGAGGGGAGGATAACACCATTATGTGATGAACACTTTAGAAAGAACATCTGACCGCAAAACCAGAATGGGACTTGAAGCTCCACAGCACCATTCTCTCTTGTGCCCTCAGATGTATAATAAAATCATCTTCCCAGGGACTCTTACTGGAGAATCTACCTGCCTACCTGCCGTGCCCCATACCTGGCATTTGTGTAGCCTTTAAATGCTGCATCCCAAACTACTCTGACTTTGAACAAACTGTAATTTCAGGAAAAAAAAAAATCCTTGATAATGAATAGCCATTTGTCATGGGCAAAGCCACAGGTGCATGTGGAGAGGAGTCTGACCTTTAAATCAGGAGTCTGTGCACACTGCAGGCAGGTAAATGCACAGGGATTGGGTTTGCCACCGGGCAAAGACCAGGGCTCCAGAGGTAGTTTATGCTGTTCCTTGTTTTCAGAGTACTAAATCTGGGTAAAGTCACGTGTTTCTTAATAACAGGGATCAATTCTGAGAAATCACCCCGATACGGTTTGGCTGTGTCCCCACCCAAATCTCACTTTGAATTGTAGTTCCCCACGTGTCATGGGAGGGACCTGGTGGGAGGTAATTTAACCCCCATGGTGGCTTCCCACATGCTGTTCTCATGATAGAGAGTTCTCATGAGATCTGACAGTTTTATACGGGGCCTCCCTCTTTTGCTCGGCACTTCTCCTTCCTACCATCATGTGAAGAAGGATGTGTTTGCTTCCCCTTCCACCATGATTGTAAGTTTCCTGAGGCCTCCCCAGCTGTGCAGAACTACGAGTCAATTAAACCCCTTTCCTTATAAACATCCCGGTCTTGGGTATGTCTTTATTAGCAGTGTAAGAACAAACTAATACACACCTTTAGGCAAGTTCATCATTGTGTGAACATCATAGAGTATACTTACACACACTTACGTGATATATACAACTTCATTGATATACCTATCTTTCCATATGGAAAACAGAATGTCCCAGCATCATTACTGAACATCAGTCATTTCCCCTACTTGATCTCAATGCCAATATCAAGTGCCATCCAACAGGTTCTATATCTGCTCCATTATAATGTTATGGGACCACTATTGGACATGCGGTCTGGCATTGAGTGAAACATCCTTGTGACTGTGTATAGGAATGTCTTCGTAACATCAGTAGGAAGAACTCTTAGGCCTAAAGAACATGGCAAAATTCTGCCTTTGTCATCTGCAAAAGTAACTGAAATCTGTTTACCTGGTATCACATTGCATTATGAAAGGAAGAACAAGCTTATTCAACACCTGGGTAAGCATGGGTCTAGACACGGCACTCATAGTGCTGGTTTGCAGTGTGGTTGCTGTCTTGTTTCATTTAAGAGGATTGTTGAAGCTCATTGCCAGATGATGCAGAACACCATCTCAAAGGCACTTTTAGTCTCTGTGGTCTTTTTTCCTAGATAATATGACAAAGAAGGTAAATCTCTTTCTGAAAATAACTCTGAAATATCAGCATCTTTTGCTGAACCAAACCCTTCACTGATGTAGGAAGCATTTCAATCTTTGGCTCTAAGCATTAGACTCTTAACTCTGCATCTAATTCTTAAACTGGCAAAACTGAAAACTGAGAGTATAAAATCAACACCAAAAAAATCACTGAAAACTGCACACATGCTATTGTACACATCCCACTTGCTAAAAAGAAAAATGAGAAAGAATCAGTAAGAAATCTTATTGAGAATAATTTTAGAAGACTTAGGGGAAAAAACTGAAATATTTGGATAAATTTCTTCCTTATTCAATGGAATAAGGCATTCTAAGAAAAGAATATTAGATAAGTAGAAAAAGACTCTGCTCTTAAAATTCATAGAAATTACTCTTGTTCCTTACATGCTGTGAAAAAAATGCCAACATAAACTCGAGTTTGTAAACGTAAAAAGTTATCAAGTATGAAAATATGTTTGCATTCATTTTGATGACGGATGTCCCCATCTTTGGATGAATGATCAAACAGCAGCTCACCTTTGCAGTTTCCTCGATACGCAATCTCTAGCTGGGGGTCTTTGCACTTGGCACGTTGAAATTCACAACGGGAAAGGAAGGTCCTTCCGTCAGATGCACAGAGAGGTTTCTGAGGCGAACCCGCACAGTCCAAGCTACAATCCTTGTCTTTATCTTGATCAACTCTCAAAAACTTAAAGGAGAAAAAAAGAAGCCAGACAAATTTAAAGACACATTCTTCAGAGCAGCAGCAAACAGAAGGCTGCCCCAGGCCACTTCACGGTCAGGGAATAAAAGCTTGAGGGATAACGCGCCCCCGGTTCTCACCCCTGCCAGAAGCATCACGGGCACATCTGAACATTTTAGCCATTGTCTGTTTCAACAGCCTCGCTAATTTGGACGTTCTCTATATGAACATTGGCCGTCTGACACAGGACAACATGTGAATCGTTGATCTTTGAAAGGGATGCACGTGTGCCTGATTCACCCCTAAAAGTCTGAGTAGCAATGTTTTCCTTTTAATTTGTGAATTCACTGACGAATTTGCCTCCACATTCACCACATTATTACCATTCTTCTGGAAGTGACAAGTATCAGGAATGTCCACTGGCTGGAACTGGGAGGGAATCCTTCCTGATTTAAATGGTGCCACACAGTTTCGTCTACATTCTCCAAATGCAGATGAACTCCACATTCAACTGGACTAGGTTGCATTCACTTGGACTATTGTTCTTTGAATAAATGTTTGTTGAATGAATGAGTGACCTCATGGCCCAGAGGAAGCTTGTGTATTTCTCTGAAAATGTCTAAGGCACAGGAACACTCTCTGTAGGCCCTAGACATCGCCTAATGGCCATGTGTGCCCTGCAGTTCCCACGGCAGCCCCAGGCCCCTGATCTCCCTCCTGCTCTTTTACAGCCTGACATACTCTTCAGAGCTCACCAGACCCCAGGGAAGCCTCCCATCTGGGCGTGCTGGCCCCGCGTGTTTTCCGTGGACAAGTCATCAGTGTCCTGCCACTTCCTGACCAGCCACTAGTCCTGTCCGGGCCTCCATCAGCCAGACGAAACACCAGACACCAAGGTGAAGCTCAAAGTGACCCTGAGGAAGCATCTGTGCTCCAGGACAACCAGGATTGTCAGAGGCCTTTGGTCCCCAGACTATCACCTGCCCCAGGGGTGTTTTCCCTGATTCAGAGCAGAGATAATACATTAACTAGAAGAAAGAAAGAAGCGTGCAGAGCTGTGGCTGGCAGAACATAGGCTACGGTAGTACATGGCCCTCTGGGTGTGGTGTGCACGTGAGCGGGGCTATGTGGCATTATTCTTCCAGCCATATTGGTGGAGATTAAGAGAGTGCTGCTCCAATCCCTCTTCCAGTTTGAGCAGCGGGAAGATAGGGTTGAGGTTCAGCAGAAGCTGGGGGGCCCTCATCAACATGCTCCTTTACCAGTAAGAGAGGAAAAAGAAATTCACCAACTCAGGATGCTGCATTCCTTGAGAAGCTAAGAAACTTTCTGACTTGAAGTCTGCATCTCAACTGGCTCTGTTCAAAGGTTAGCTTTGCCCAGCTAATCAGCATTGTAACCCTCAGTGCTGTGGATCGCCAGGCGGGCTGTGTCAGTGGAGCTAACTCGGCAAGGCTGGCCGTGGAAATTACACTCACTTGCATATTATTGTCACATAGGGCTGTCAGCACCACTGTGAGTTAAGTCTCAGTTCTTTTAAAACTGTGCTGTGCTATCTTGAAGATAAATCTTGACCCAAGCTTTGCAGGAACTATGGTGACCTTGATGGGCAGTGGAATGAATCATAACCTGTGATTTCCTGAATGAAAATTTATCAACTTTAAATAATTTGCCCAGTGTTACATATACAATTTTTTTAAACCTTCACAGTGATTAAAAAAAAAAAAAAACTAAAAATAGAGATTAGCCAAAAGCCGAAGCTGGACTCAAAGCCAGGAAGGGCACACAAGATGATGTAGGGGTGGGATGGCCCGTGGGGAGCCCCAGACCTCACCAGAAATCCAGGCAGCGTCCTCAGAGCTCCCGACCTGAGGACTGTGACAGCGGCAGGTGTGGCTAAGAACAGGTGAGCCTGTGTGTTTTGGAGCTCACAAAGCTACTTGGCAGTGGCCTTCCCCAGATATGGGGATGAAGGCTGGAGCCAAGGGACAGGTGAGCAGCACCCAGAGGTGATGGGGCCTTTGCCATCTCAGAGTGAGCTATTTTTCACATTTGTTCCGTTTCAAACAGCGTGCTCTAATTTTCCTGAGGATAAGCTCACCTGCTGAAATGATTCAGGTTTATTTTAGCTAAGAGGCAAGTGAAAACAGATCATTGCCTTTCAGGTTTTGCAAAAATGTGTGCTTTACTTAAAGAGGGCAGAGCCGGCACATAAATACATTCAGTTGAATTCTGCCACGGATGAATCTCAATCATGTTTTTCACTTCACCAACACGCATTGCCCAAGCTCTTCCAGCAGTGGGGGGGCACCCCGGGGGCAGGCGGCTCCTGGGAGACATGGCCTTCAGGTGCTGTGCCTTGGGAAGTTCCTCCACCCGCTGAGATGCTGCCTGGATCTTATAAAATGCTTCGGAGTCATTCCTCGCCTCCCAGCACTTGAGGATCTCGACAGCCTCATTCTCGCAGCACACAGCTGGCCGGAGCAGCGCAGCTTTGTACCCAAGAAAGAGGGGGAAAACCAGAAAGAAAACGTGAACCTGCCGTGTGTTCAGAGGAGCCCCAGGTGCCTTGTTTCACACAGGGGCCCGCCCTATTCATAGCTGTCTTCTACTGTAGAGGAAAAGATGGAATAACCTAAATCCTGTTAGTTTTTATGTTTAAGGGGTGGTCTCTATGTATTTCCTGAACCCCTAAGTGAGGAGATGCTGAGGACTTAGGAAGACGCTGTAATTATCATTTTTTCTAAAGGAAAACAGACAGCCTCAACATTTTTTCTCAAATAAAAGTGCGCAGCATCCAGGCATTTGGAATTTGACCATAATTTACTGGTGCAGAACTAACAATGGAAGTATGATTTCTCAGGAATAAGAGAACACACAGGTTATGTATATGTTTCTCCCCTACTTCCTGTTTAATAGCAATTAAATTTCATGGGAGACAGTGCATGTAAGAAAACAAGCTTTTAACTAAGTTGTGTTCATTAATAAACAGCCCATTCAAGAAAAATAAATATTCCTATTCCAAAGAATTCACTATGTGTTAAAAGAACTCGGTTGAGAGTCTTAAAACTAATTCAAGATAAAAAGTACTTTGCTAAATTTAGAATGCAATCAATTGGACATCGAGTGACTTTATTTTAAAAAGAAAACTCAGAATTGCAGGGGTTTCTTATTTCTTTTGATTTCCACAAAGCAGTGCTATTTGCACAGGTGCAAGGAGCCCAGGTGTAAGGGTTGGGGGAGGGAGGGGCACACGAAGTGTCTTTGTGGATACCAAGTAGCTCACACATTAGAAAACCAGTCAGACAGATTCAATGGGTTAAAGTCATGGTCTATGCTTCTTCTTAATAAATTACTGGGTTTGGGCCAGAAGAAAAAGATTAAAACAAAAACCATTTACAAAACAGGTAAAAGCACTTTTCAAATCTTAACATGTTTAAAATTTCTCCTTATAATATTGATTAAATACTTCTCTGACTATATGAGATAACGCATGGCATGAGGAGACATTAAGGAAGTTTTGCCTCTGAAATACATAATTCTGTAGCTGTAAGATTTGCAAGGCCAGGCGCAGTGGCTCACACCTATAATCCCAGAGCTTTGGGAGGCCAAGGCGGGAGGATCTGCTGAGGCCAGGGATTTGAGACCAGCCTGGGCCACATAGTGAGACTCTGTCTCTATCAGGGGTGGGGGGAAATTAGCCAGGTGTGGTGGTGTAATAAAATAAAGTGCACAATAAATGTGCACCTGTGGACCCAGCTACTTAGAAGGCTGAGGTGGGAGGATCACCTGAGCCTGGGGAATTGGAGGCTGCAGTGAGCTATGACTGCGCACCAGTGCACTCCAGCCTGGGCAAGTGAGACCTTGTCTAAAAAAAAAAAAAAAAAAAAAAAATCTCAAAAGCACACACTTTCTAAATAATAGGCCAAGAGAAAATAAATGGTGTCCACGTGTTTGCTTTCTCTGAATGGGAGGTGCACACAGGAAGAAATGAGATTGAACAGAAGACAGGACACTGCTGGCAACAAAGCCCAGTGCCTGGAGAGCCTGCACAATTCTGAAAGTCACTGGGGACAGGTGGGAGAGTGGTTACAGACTCAAGCCTGTTTTAAAGAACCATTTCTCCATTTTAAAGCTTGGACTTTCTCAGGTGCAGAAAACAGGGTCCTATTCTTTTAGAACACAGAACCTAAATCTTCCATGCAAATATGGAAATCCTGTTTCAGAGCCCGCAATGCGAAGCTTAAATATAAAAGGAAAACACAACTCTCCACGGGACATTTTCTCCCAGAGATGGACATTCCATTCACTCATTCATTCAGCATCCGAGAGACGGACATTCCATTCACTCATTCATCCAATATCTCATCTCCATTCACTCATTCATCCATTGATTCGAGATGGACGTTCCATTCACTCCATTCATCCAGAACCGAGATGGACGCTCCTTCACTTCATCTATCCAGACGGCTGATATTTTCGACCCACTTTATTCATTCAGCTTTGAGAGAGATTGAGCCTATTTATCGATCGAGATCTGAGATGGAGACTGACATGAGCCGATCGAGACGAGAGGAGTTCCCATTCACTCATTCATCCAGCATCCGAGAGATGGACGTTCCCTTCACTCATTCATCCAGTATCTGAGAGATGGACATTTCATTCACTCATTCATCCAGCCTCTGAGAGATGGAGGCCCATTCACTCATTCATCCAATATCTGAGAGATGGACATTCCATTCACTCATTCATCCAATATCTGAGAGATGGACGTCATCTACTCATATTCATCTATAGTATCTGAGAGATGGACATTCCATTCACTCATCTATCCAATATCTGAGAGATGGACATTCCATTCACTCATTCATCCAATATCTGAGAGAGGGACGTTCCATTCACTCATTCATCCAGTATCTCAGAGACGGACATTCCATTCACTCATTCATCTGGCATCTGAGAGACGGACATTCCATTCACTCATTCATCTGGCATCTGTGGAAGTT